TGTGTCTAAATACAATTTTCCAAATTTATAGGTGGAAAAACATTGCCTTGCACTTTTAAGAAATTTTTTCAATCCCTAAGACGTGGACATATAGTGCTAATCTTTGTCGTTTTAGAAAGGTGGAGATTTTTTAACTGATACAACTCTACAGCTTTGTTTGTCAGATTTAACCAAAACAACTACTTGGGTTGTAAGGCTTAAGAAGATAATTTTATCTTATGTATGATAGAGAGGTTCAAATTATTGAACTAATTTTGAGAGATAAAGCTTCTAATAAAGTAGTATTCCATTGTCTTAAATTTTTAATTTTTAATTTCAAAATTGTAGGAAATGCCAAAAAATACTTCTTTTTATGAGTGAGCTGAACTGTGCTAATCCTTTCCCCCCTAACTTGTCTTCACCTCAAAAGTGCCAGTCAAACCTATAATTTTCGTTAGTTAATCAGGTATAGATTTGAGGCTTAAGTCAAGATGAGGTTCATGACTTGTGTTGTGGGTGATTCCCAAATTTCTGCATTTCTTTGTTCGTGGAATTTTTTTTATTTATTTTTTGCTTTTGGAGAGGGTAAAAGAGCAAGAACTTTATGGAATTGTTGTGCAATGGCTATAAATTGAACGAACACATTTTTTCGGAAAGTTATAGGGGTGGGGAAGTGGAGTCTTTGTGGGATAATGTGCTTGGTCATCATTGTAGGCTTCAATTCGCTGGGATTTTCTATTTTTTCATATTCATGCAGAGTGGAAGGCGGCAGTCTCAAAACTTTTATTTGTTAGCTGAGCTGTTATGAAATGTTTTTGAGTTTGTTTTAGACGTTTTTGTTGTTAGTTGCTGGTTGGTTGAGACATTGCATGTGTTCTAGTGTAGCTTGTCCTATGTTTGTACTTTTAATCTTTATGGATAAAATAAATTAAATCCTTCTGTTTCTGAAGAAAAATAATATGAAGATCATGTTTACGTGGTACTTTTAAGATGAAACATTTTCTCTTCTGGACTTCGGCAGAAGTAAAATTATTTCTTTTGTGCTTTGGACAGATCTCAAAGGAATATATTGAGAAACAGGTTGCAGAGGTGGAGAACAACTTGAGGGAGCTGTTGAACCAAGATCCAGGTCTTGCTCGTCAGATAATGTCCATGAGTGTAATGTAACTTTTGAATTCTTGAAAGTTTTCTGCAGTTATTTTGTTTTGTTTTCCATTTGGACCAACACAAGAAATTTGTAGAATCGATCCGTTTTCCTCTCAACTCGCCACCTTGTTTTACTATAAGGGTACGCTTTTCTTATTTTGTCGCGGATGTATTATAGGTAACATGCTCTAATTTATGAAGATACTTATGCAAGTTCTCTATTTATTTATTAATTGCCTATCCTCGTGTATCTATTTTGCATTACTGAATATTAGGCTGACGATTTACAAGAGCAAGATAACAATTTTGGAAGGGATTAGGTTGATGCTCTACCTGACTTAAATAGCTTTAAAGCTTCTAGTCTTGGCAAACAAAACATTAAATATAGTGTTAGTTCCAATCTTCATCATGATGATAACTGAAACCATTGCTCTAGGACCTTCTGTATGTCTAGTCCTTGCCTTCCCTCCTATACATACTCATCTGAACTAGAGTTTGCTTCAGGTGTGAATGCACATACGTGATTTTTTGCTCTACCGGTCAGTCAACCATTGACCGATAATTGTATTCACGACCCGGATCAACCGGTAGTGCAAAAATCAGGTTGGTGAGATGCTAAGAACAAGAAGACTAGAACAAAACTTGAAGCAACCCTTGATAAAACTTTGATGTCATATGCCCTCTCAATTTGAGTCTCCCTTGTCGTTCCAAAGGTAGCATTTGTCGAAACTTTCAGTTTCATCATTGTACCTGCATGGCCCTCCAGAGTTGATCATCCATGTACAATGCTTGCAATCGTCCCTGTTGTGTATGAAAATGTCAAACCAATGAAATTGGTCAGACCATTTGAAGCTGCAGTAGAATTTGGTGCTCCTCCAATAGTTTGGTCTGAAATGAAACTGGAAGTTGTCTTCATGGTGGAGATTGTGCAACCCTATATCATCATTCTTAGATCTACAATGAACGTCCAGATCCGTCTGTGGGCCCAAAGCATTGATAATTTTAACGTCCGTTGAAACAAAAAAAGAATAAGCCTCACAGATGGTGGTGGTACCGAGTGCAAAAACCAACAATATTATCGTCTGCTTCATATCTCTGTGTGTTTGGATGTGAGAGAGAGGCCTTGAGTTTGAGGGCTGCTGCCTATATATTTATTTATAGGGCAAGAGAGAGTTCACATATGAAAGAAAACGTCTAAAATTACGTATTAGAGTACCATGAATAGAGGCAAATAACTAAAAATAACCTAGGGGATGGGAATAAATGTTTTTATTTTCCGATATATGGTGGATGCCATACCATTTTACAAGTTATTTTAAGTAAGAAATGTACTGCCACAGTTTTTTTATTTTTAATCAAGGAGAAATATACTCCTATAGCCGCAAGGCTATACTATTTATTTGAAACAAAAATGACCCTACTAGTTGCATTAGTTTATATTTTATAAATATTAATTTGCTAGTTTTGACATCTCTAAAGCAGATATTGAAGAGAGAAATTTATGAGTAAATCAATTATGTAAAGAGTACAGCCAATTGGCTATACTATTTATATAAAAAAGGACCCCAGTAAAGAACTATACCTTTTTTTATTTAAAAAAAATTATCAAGTGTATAGCCGAACGGCTATACTATTTTTAAATAATAAAAAACCATAGTATAGCCGTGCGGCTATACTATTTATTAATTAAAAAAAGACCCGCCTGCGCCTGCCATGCCACGTGTCAAAACAGTATAGCTGCCGGCTATACTATTTTAGTAAATACGTCGTATCGCCGCACGGCTATACTATTTTTATTATAAAAAATCCGATACAAAAAAACAAAAGGAGAACCGGCCTGGCGCCTAGCGCCCAACGCCCATTTCACCGCTTGTCAAAAATAGCATAGCCACGCGGCTATACATGTTTTATTAAAAAAACCACGACTATAATAATAACAAAAAGGACCACCCGCCTGGCCCCCGCAGGTGTAAAAAATAGTATCGCTGCCTGGCTATACTATTTTTAAATAAAAAAACCGTAGTATAGCCACCCGGCTACACCATTTTTTTAAAAACAAAACACCGAGTATAACTGCGAGGCTATACTATTTTTAGAAAAAAAAAATTGGCTTCTTAGCAGCCAGAGTTGGTCAGTGCAGAGACGACATCGAATTAGTCACTGCCCAGAGTTGGAAGGATTATGCAAAACTAATATTGTTGAAGGTCTATGCGTTTGGTTTTTGTAAGTTTTTAGTATTTCTTTATTATTTCCAATCTAATATTTTTCACATACATTATCTTAGTTGCTCTTATTTATTTTTCTTAGTTAAAATATGCTTCTCTTTCAGTAGATGAACTGAACAAACGCCATGATTTTTATGAGGATCTTCTCAGGTATTGACAACTACCATGCTACACGGTGTAATTCCCTTTATTGTTCTGTTGACAGCGACCTGAAAATATATACTATTGGGTTTTATGTGTCTTCCCAAGTTTCTTGCTTGGTTTTGCTTTCTCTAGATGTGCCGCTGATTGCCAGTGTATTTTTATTTTTAAATATGGTTTGATGTTTTTGTTTTGCATGTTCCCTTTTCCCTCTCTAAATTTTATAGCATTGTTCTTGCTAATTTAATTTTGGTTCTTAATTTCTAAGTTAAGTTCTTTGTGTCAAAGAACCAAATAATAAATAGCATGACCATACAAGAGGTATGCAACACTGCTTGTTCCTATATTGAATGAGAATGGTGCTAATAGTACTAGGAAAGCTCCACAAGAGGTATGCAACTCTGCTCGTTCCTTTACTTTTTCATTTGAAAATTTTGTTGATATGCATTTTTGTTGGGTTGTGCTAAACAAATCTCATCAACTGCTGTTTGTGTAGTTTATGGTGGAATCCTTGTTGTTATCACTGGGTAAATTCTGTCATAACCTTGAATTTTTTATCAGTATGACACAATTGCTCTCAGCTTTTTTAGAAGTGTACTTTGAAGCTGAGCTGGTACAATTCCTAGTTTAAACGCTTAGATGTCAAGAAACCGGCCTGCAGTATGATGCCATTTTCAGGTAAGCTTCTTGTAATTGTGTGTTCACTAGCTTTTTTCTGGTAGATAGATGGGAGCAGATATTTTCGTCTCCAATCACAGCACGCCACGTGGAAAAGAAGATTATCTCTTTTAATTAATTAATTGAACCAGTTTATCTGGCCAATTAATTAATTAGGATAAATATCTTAATTAAATGATATTATCTTTATGTAATACGATAATATCATTAATTAAGATATTATCCTAATAAAGAGAAGATAATGTCATTATCTCAGATATTATCTCCATAAAAAGAGATAATATCATTTAATTAAGATATTATCTCCATAAAAAGAGATAATATCATT